TTTCCGCAGTATGTCTGTATAAAGCAAAACTTTTACATGAAGTCATATAAGGTTAATACACAGCACATGAAAACCTTCTTGTTATATTTGCCTTCGATTTTGCTACAAACGAACTCTTGATTTGTTTGACAAGCTCTGTCACCCCTTTGCCTCTAAGGTGACAATTGCCAATTACTGACATATATTGCATTGATTAGATCATTACTTTGTAAAGAGTACGACAGACGCCACTAATATGTTTTTCCTTCAGTGTAGAGATTCTAAAATGGACAAGTATTTCCCAGGGGTTCTTTTAACGATTGACAATGTGTTTCGCTTTAATGTTTTCTCTAGTCAAGTTGGTGTCTTCCCAACAGTAACTAAATTCTCTTCGTTACACACAGAATATTCGATTCAGTTGATGTTTTCGGATAAGTATTTAATTTAAAGTTAATCTATTATTTTAAGCCTGTGTTGTCACCAAAGGCGACAAATGCATATTTTAGCTTCAAGTTTCACCTCGGCAACATTTGCACAATATTTACGAAATCATAAAAGTCTCTTTACCTTTAAGATCGACGTTTATTATTTATGGAGCCGGCCGAGTTCGGAATATCCATAGAATTATTAGTCAATTTAGGTTAGAAAAATGACTTCTACAGGAAGTATGCATTAGAATCAGCTTCAGTCGTTCGATTTTCTCTTGGTTCAAAGGGATAAAATATTTATTTTCGGACGATGAATCACTGATGATTACAAATCGCTTTCTTATCGGAATAAGAATAAAATAGATTGTAGTCAGCTATAGGAAAATTCTGTTTTTGCTTTATTTTATTTTACGGTATATCAACCTCAGTGGATTATTAAATGCCAGCAAGATTTTTATTGCTGGTAATATTTAAAAAAAAAATATATTGCTGGTAAATTGTTTTCCAAAAAAAAGTATTGCTGTTATTAACACCTATTTTTATACCTCCATAGCATTTTAACCCATTTGGGGGGTTAGCTATTTGCCCGTAGTTGTTACCATGGCAGGTGTTACCACTCCGGGTCATGGTGGAACTGGAAACACCATCAATTAAGAGGTGTATCCACACTCCTCAAAACTTGATCAAACACCTTGCTGTTGGATGTATTTTATTGTCATACCCAGGACGGGTATAGGAAAGGTTGAAACGTCTGAAACTAAATAAAATTAATCGAGAGAAATGATTCTTCTCGCCGTGTTTATTGAGGATTATTTTATTATATATTGATAGAACTTGGATAAATTATTATTGCAAAACCCTATTATTTATTATAATATATTTCAACTAGTAAAACGCCGAAGAGCCGTTCAATGTAGAGGGTTTCTGAATGAAGGATGTAATCAATGTGTATGAGGACGATAATGTGTCATGTTTATGTCCGCCATAGAGATGAGGAAAGATATTCCTAAAGCCTGCTTACGTATAATTTTTTACAAACCTGATATCACGGTACAGCACCCTATTCCAATTTGACTTAAGCTGGCAGTGAAAGGTCGGCTGAAAATACTAAAATGAAAATGCTCATCCAAAAATTTCTAAATAAGAATAATCCACCTCCCGATCCATAACTTGCTAACAGATGAGGGGATTAGCGGCTGCGGAGAGATCTGATCACTCCAGAACACTCGACTGGTGTATGACATGCCACCAGATGAAAATATATGCAGCATTTCAAAGCCGAGCAATTTGGATAGATTTATCTCATGTTATTACGTAATATACCGGAACTAGTAACCACAGAGCCTGAAAAATTTTAAACGAAGCTATAAAAAAAAAAAATTTTGCCTTAACAATCTTTCCTTGTATTGGAATTCTGTAACCTTAGAAAATGTCATGAGCGAGTCATTCTCGGACAATGTTCAGCTAGCTTGCTTGGTCGACTTAAAATACTTTAGTGTGATTGATTATTATTAGATGTCGCATACGATCTGAAATTTGGTAAATGTAAAAAGAAACTTCTCCATCAAATACGTAGTTATGTGTAGCGGACTCATTGATAGAGGCCACAAAATTGCACACTAATATTCTCGATAAGCAAGCGTTTCCTGGAAGACTGATGTAATACATTCTTTTTATGAACTTTATGGCGTTGTTCGGAAAGTGAGAAGAAATATAATGGTTTTCGCTACTCTCTAACTTCCAATTAAGGAAAATGTCTATATATCGCTTAGATGAGGTATTATGATTACTTTCATTATTTACATTATTCGGACTGTTATCCTCGTCTTCATTCCCATATTTATAACGTTTCGGCCGTTGTACTCTCCGGCTTTCTTCAGGTGACTGAATTTCGAACCGAGACCTTTATTTCATTCACCGGGGTAAATTGTCCTAGTGCTATGTGCCACTAGTCACTTCATCTAACCAATGTCTTTATCCACTCGGCCATGTGTCTTTGAGGATATCTGTGTATGAATTTTGGAACTTATAAACCTAATCTCTTAGAAACTATTTTTTCCCAGTGCTCATATTGCATTTTTTTCTTTTTTTATTATTATTATTGCATATAAAAAAAAGGACTAGAGCTTATATTTCAATTTTTTGTTGTTGTTGTTGTTGTTATTCATTACTTCACTTTAACAATCTTCATTACTGGTTCCCATATTGTATTCAATTCTATGCGTGGTTGGCTCGGAAAAAATTGCAATATGAGCACTTGTAAAAATAATGATTGCTAAGGCATTAGGGTTATATGTTCCTAAAATTTCCTACACGTCCGCAAGAACACATGGCCCAGTGGATAAAGATGTTGGCTAGACACAGAGGCTAGACGTAAAGAGATGTGAGTTCAATACCAGGCTACAGCAATGGTGAACCAAAACTTGTTTAAAGGAAAAGGTATGATATGTGGAACTAGAACAATCTACCCCGGTAAACGAAATAAATGGTTCGGTTCGAAATTCCAATCAACTGAATATGTCGGAGGATACAACCGCCGAAACGTTGTAAATATGCCAATGAAGATTAGGATAATAATGTAAATAATGTAAATTCGTAAATCCGTGTTATAATAACACTTTCAAACGTCTCAAATAAATTGATTCCAAAAACGAGTTTTGCCTGAAATCTTTGTTTCCATGGAAAAAATTCAACATATATATATATATATATATATATATATATACTAGAAGCATCGCCCGGCGTTTCCCGTGCTTGATTCAAAAATCGTACGACTCATACAGCAATCGCTATCACTTGACTTAAAATATTTTTGCTCATCCTTGCCTTTAAAGGAGTGCCCTTTGCCGTGCTGATGTTGTTACATGCCTTACTTCTTGCCTATCTTACACTGCGAATTTTTTCTAAGCTCTATACTAAACATTAAATATATTACGAAAAAAGAACTAAACAAAATGAACACAAGACGATCAGCTTTAAAAAAGGACTCGTAACTGTAAAAACCTAATGAAAAAAGAATGTTAACAACAAATACTTTTTCCCACCCAACCCAGTTCTTCGGAATCAGAAGCAACGTTGAGTTTAAGCAAGCGAATGAGCCAATTGGATTAAAGTGCCATGCAGATTTAAATTTTTCCCCCACTTGTGACGAATGCAGCTATCGATTTTTTTTGCATTCGTGTCAGTCAGCTGTTGGCTCTCACGCTGACCAATAGAATCTTCCTGCCTATTGGTGGCAGCTCGCTATAGGCTCTCACTCTGGCCAGTAGAAAATGGACGCAAACTACATGAAAACTGCCGTAGAAGCATGAAAAAATCGATTATTTCCACTATCGATGGGAGTGGGAAAATTCAAAGCCGTCTTGGCCTTCCCGCTATCTTGCAGCATGAGCATGTAAATTTTGGTGCAAATCCGTCGAGAATTGCAGCCGTGCATTCGTCACACACACACACACACATACACACACACACACACACACACACACACACACATGCTCTTTTATAGATAGAGATTTATTACAATTTGTCGTAAACTGATATAACTCATAAGAAAAAAAGAAACAAAAAAACAAAAAACAAAAAAGAAATATATCATATGAAAGGACGAATCTATAGAATCGCTTACTTGTAATGACCCTTCAATACGAGGGACACTGCCAGCTCGGGTGATATAATCCATGTTTCTTCCTTAGGAAGTATCTTATTCACTCGTCTTCCTAACGGTCAATGGCCATTACACCTGTATCTGCCGAGAACTAAGTAGCAACTTAATATCGCCAACAGTTGCTGCCTTCTGGTCATCCTCAAAAACCTTAAGGACGTTAGAAAATTCATCCTAAATTTAAGAAGGTATCCGCTTTCTCTATCTTTACAAAACTAATATTGGAAGGAAGAAAATATTAGCAAGATACAAATTTTAAATTTTTCAAAGTAAAGACACTCACATTCTAACTTGTACAACTATTATCTCATCATGTAGTTAAAAAAAGTATGCTGTGCTTTATTCCGAAGTAAAATAGTTTTGCAAATGTTTTTTCGATGAAATCTTGATAGTAATAACTACGTGCTTACCATTATTCAAACTGATAAAGCCATATATGATTTCCAACAAATACCTCTCGGTTACGTCTCGAATTTTAATACTTAAAACATCTTAAAACAAACAATATTGACAGGCACTTTATGAAGATTAATGTTACCTTCAATCAAGAGGCAAGAAAAAAAAGCCGGGACTGAAGTAAGACACTAATTATTGATCTTCTGTAATATTTTCAGCAATATACTAATTATTGATTTTTCAACTTTAAATAAAGACAGCTGAAATCAGTATTCATGAGTTTCTTTTACTCGGCCCAGGATGACGGATCTTGGTTGAACTACCGCTGTCATAACTGATTAAGTTTTTCTTTCTGAAATCCGTCGATTGGACAAGAAAGATTCATTCCAAATGGCTGTCCATGAAAAGCGCAATTAGAATTGTTATCTAGTCAGAGCATTGTTTAGCTTCCCAAATAAAAATCGATGTAGTTATATCACTTGCCTATATAACACCCAGCTATTTATCTGCAGTTTCTCTCTTGGCATTTGAACATTTACGGTCACATCATGTTGAAACTGTTGCTCCCGTACGATCACCGAAGTTAAGCAACGTCGAGCCTGGTTAGTACCTAGATGTGTGACCGTTTGTGAATACCAGGTGCTGAAAGTTTCGATGTTCAGCTGGTATGGCTTATGGCCATGTCACGGTTCCCGTACGATCACCGAAGTTAAGAAAACTCGAGTCTGGTCAGTAACTAGATGGGTGACTGTGAATACCACGTGCTGTCAGCTTCGATGTTCAACTGGTATGGCTTATGGCCATGTTACGTTGAAATCGTACGGTCACCGAAGTCAAGCCTGGTCAGTTACTAGATGAGTGACCACTTGGAAATACCAGTTGCTGTATCCTTGGATATGCGGGTGGTGTAAAAGACAGTGGCTATAAATTTTAACTTTAGATTCGTGTTCCAATTCCCGTTGTGTTCGTTATATTAACTTAATGTATAAATTCACGTCTTCTTCATAAGTGATACACGCTTAGGCTATCATGTATCTTTTGATACATAACTGACGAGATTGTCATTTCTTTCTGCGGTAGACCAGTTGCCATGTAAGACTGTAGAACCCGGTCTGTCCTGCTATTTAACCATGACTGGGGGGGGGGGAGGATTCATACCATTTTCCAAGAGTATTAGAACGTAAATGAATGTAATAGTTTCGATTGGAATTCGAATTCGTCTGTCTTCGATTTCTCAAGCCTAGCCGCTATCCATGACTCCACCATGCCTCTCCACTCCTTCACACAACTACGTGTTATTTAGTAAAACTTGTCCCACCAAAACATTATTTTCTACTCCAAAAATTTAATCTAAGCATATTTTCTGGCTGTAAATAACCTGCTTGATACGAAGCGTTATTATCATATTGTTGCGGAGTTTGTTAAATATGTGAGAAATAATCAGAAGGAATTTTGAGTTGGTTGCGTGTCTGTCTGCATCCCAAACAAATAATTAAGCAAAATTCAAAATACAATTGAAAAGACGGGACATATTCAAATAGAAATAAAACAACATTTATATACAATTCAACATATATACAGATAGGATTATTGACGTATGATATGTATGCGAGATGTGTATGTAGTTTTGAGATTTCTGAATGTCTCTTGTTGCGATTGTTCGTTGATTTTTGTAGTCTTTTGTTTGTGTTGATAATTACGATTGTTAATTTAGAAAGAGTTTTTGTAGAGTGATCTACCTTTAACTGCAGTTGGTGTTTTTGTAATGTCGTTCGCTAGATAGTATTTAGTTAATTGAGTAGTGAATTTAATTCACTTAACATAAGTTGATAGATGGTGTACACAGAGTTGATTAATGCTTGATCGAATATGAATCAGCGATGTGTCTTTTTTATAACAAAATTGTGATTAGTAGTGACGTGGAGTATTTTAGAAAGTTCTCTGTGAATGCGTGTTACTGACTGTCTAAAGTTGGTAATTGTCTTTAACGTCTGGTCAGCAATGACTAAGACGGGAGTCGGTGAATGTTACATCTTGAAATTTGGTAATTACTGCTCCTCAGAAGGTTCACACGTTTTCTCTTTATATAATCACCGGGTGGCTCGCAGCATATGAGCGGGAAAACAGCTTAGTCGCGTGCAGGCGGTTTGATTGGTCTAAACTGACCAATCAGCAAGCCAGATTGGAGGTGATTGACCAATGAATACTTGTTATATTGTCTGAAGGTAGAATTTGGCTTACTAGATAGTAAGAGTGCATTTCCTACAAAGAGGTAAGGCTGGTTGTGTTGTGGAAGAGTCTACAATATCAGTATCTCACTGAATATGTTTAGCACTTGTTGCTATCCAAAACGATAATCGCTGTTATGACTTTATTATTTTCTCTATTTCTATATGTCGTGCCAATTCAGGTCGGACTGGATCAAGACTGTCCACATATTCCTCTTCTGTGTAGCTTTTAACAATATACGTTTTTTTCTTTTATTATTTCTGCTGCTCTCCGTTCTACCATTTATTCAAATGAGCACGTCAAGTAGGTGAACAGCTTCCTGCCGCTATCCTTGTTGCATTTGATATGTCCTGGGCGTGTTAAACTTTCTAAACATTCTACCTCATTTATATATGAAGAAATTGCCGGTGTCCCTTTCTTATTTTTTTTAATATATGAGACTATTTTGTTTCGATTTTTTTTAAAAACTTCCTGTATTTTTTTAAGTTCTCGTCCATGATATTCTAGGCATCTGAACCAGAACCGTATAGGATACAGGCTCGATTCCTGTCGGAGGACGCATATTTTCTATGAAAATTTCTCGGACATTCAGGCCGGTAAATGTCATTAATACTGTTTATTATAAACAGAGCATTTACTTAAATATTTCTATCGATAAAAAAAAACGTATAAACATAAAAATTTCTTAAAATAATTGTCAGACTTTGTCCATTTCATAATGTGTGAGGTCATTTTTTACATTTGAATACGCATTGAGCAGATATGAATGTATGAGAGAAAATCATAGGGAATTGTGTTTAAATACAGTAAAATCGACCTGGCGAACTGAAACGCTTCTCTGTAGCTCAATCGGTAAAGCACGTCAGGCTTTGTGACTGTTCCGTATAGGTCTGATTCCTGTCGGAGGACGCATATTTTCTTTGAAAATTTCTCGGACATTCAGGCTGCTAAATACTGTTTATTATAAACAGAGCATATTTGTATGTATAAAAAGTTCATTAAAGTTCTCGTCCATGATATCCCAAGCATCTGCCTGTAGAACCAGATTTATGTCGCCTTCACTCTTCTCTACATCATTGACGAAACGGTCCAGCCTTCTATATCAGATAGGAGAAGTCACATTGCACAACCGCTTGGCATTCTTTTCCTGAAAATTACCAGTTAGTTAATACCACATTTTCTTTTAAGTAGCCATCATTTACTCTTCCAATATAACTTCTGTTTTCGCTGTCACATGTTTCCTCATCTGTTAAAGCATCTACCAGCATTTGAACTTTTTTCAATTGTTTGAGATTGACATCTTCTATTTATAGTCAGCGTCTTGAGCTATTTCTTTTCTGGCAACGATATATTTTATATTATTAGAATTGATAGTTCCTTCTTCCTTCTCTCTTTTCTTTAATATCTTTTGTAGGAGTTGCTTCTCTCTGTACTATCAACAAACTGTTATCAATTTTTTAATCGAATTCGCCTCAGGAAATGCAGTATAGCTACTCAGCCACAATGGCTTACTGGGTGTGGACGAATTAGAAAATAGAAAAATTAATAAGTAGCGATAATTAAGAGGAGTAATCAGGAGGACAGCATATAGAAATTGTCATTGCATTTAAAGTTTTGAAGATTAAAACTGGCTGGAAAGCATAGAGCCGGAAGGGAGTTCTACAAGCGAAAAATGCAAGAAAAGAAACTGTTAGCATAGAACTAACGGTCACTTCTAGTCAAATCAACGGTAAATAGATGAGGCCTCGTCGCCAATCTCGTATTGTGCTTAAATTTGAGAAGTTTGGTACCATCGCGAAGAACTTATCCGAACAATTACCATGAAAATATTTATAGAAAATGAACAAGAAAGCAACTTTTCGCTGGTGGAAATTGGCTGAAGTTGAGACGCAAGAACCGGACCTATAATATTGTTGATTCTTTTTTTTGGATTTTATCAGGGAGATCTAGATAAATAGCAGGATCACCGGACAATATGAGGCTGCAATATTCTAAGTATGGACGAATGGTAGACATATAGATATGTAAGATAGATTATAGGGAGTTAAATTGTCTAGCACGACACAGTGAACCAACTTACTTAGCAGTTCTCTTAGAATTGGATTAAATAAATACGTTCCACTTCATTGCAGCAGAGAACATTAAACCGATATATTTATATTGTTAAGATTTTGCCTACCGACAAGAAATCCTGGTAAGATTCTACAATCCCCTTAGTATCGCCTTGCTGTAGAAGTAAAATAAATCTGGTGAGAAGACGTATACTTCTCATAAGTCTCTTTCTGTTTTTTGTTTATCTATCCAGTTCAAGTTTGAACCATATGCAGACTGATTCATTCCAGTATAAATTATTCATAATTATAAAGCCTTCCTCAAATAGTTCGAGTTTTCCTAGCACTTCAAATAGATCTTTGTGCTACACCTTTTCAAATGCTTTTGTGTAATCCATGCAGCATAAGTATATTTCCTTCTTCATTTGCATTTCTTTTAATTCCAGATATGTTTAAAGACAAAAAAACTTGATAATCGCTTCGAAAATCAACTAAAATAAAACGTTCTGCATTCCTAGATAATCAATATGTGTATAACATCATTTTATCATGATTTTAATATCGAACACTGTAAACGTCAATTATAAAGTTCTTACGAAATATACCTATAGTTATTTATTCAGGTTTATATAGTCCGACTGAATGTTCCCTTTTGTGAACATATACAGTAAATCATCTTCCCCACAATAATTAGGATATATATTGACTAAATATTCATCCAATAAACGGATCAAGAACACCTCCAGTTAGAGTATTACAGAATATCTTTCTTGGATGGAGGCAAACGCGAAAATACAGATTATTGAAACTTGATATGAAAAAGGCTTGGGTTGGTTTGTTTTACGTCCTATCAATCCTTGTTATGATTTTTGATGTAGAATCAGTGGTCGCTTCGCATTATTCTCCCTAATCTTCCATAATGGGCAATCGCATTAGCCTCACTAACACCACGAAAATATTAATCTTATTTAGATGTAAAGGGTGTTTTATTAAGACGGATTATATATAAGGTAGTTTCATTAAGACGGATCAAAGTCAGTAATATATAAATCAGTGTTATTGGAGAAATTTTATTTATTTCTCTATTGGATCAATTATGTGTGAAAAATAATAACGTCCAAATGTCCGCCAAATCTGAAAGAAAATGAAAAAAAATCATTAGATGCTTAAAGTTAATTCCTATTTAAAATTTGAACACCCTTTACTAAAATCTTAACAATGTCACATGTATTGTGATACCAATTAAAACTTCCCATTTTTAGTCCCTGAACGTAAAAAAATATTTATGAGGTCAGAAATATTTTTAAGTTTATTTAACTAGCATCAATAATCTGAAAATAAATTATCTTAGTAAGGAAACAAATGATA